TTAAAGATTCTATAAAACTAATTACTATGATAAAACATGGTAGATTTTTTTTATTAATGAATAAAAAAATATTTTAAACCAATTAATTGGGACTTCGGACCGTTAAGAATGTTCCTTTACGAGTAAACGGTATTTTGATGCAGCTGCTACGCTATGTCTAACCGACACATCTTTTCGCTTCGTTTAATCGGATCGTGGAAACATGTATAGAGAGAGTTGATTTTCCCATCTGAATCAACTTTATTTAGCGAGAAATCAAGGAATAATACATTTCGATTCAAAAAATTATCATGCGCTTTATGCATGACTAAAATGAAACATAATAGCAAATATTACTCATAATTATAAATTATAGATAATATAAATTCAATTTATAAATGTTGTTTCAAAAAATTATCATTTTTCAAAATATGATGTAATAATAATAAGAAAAAAAATTATACATTAATGCTACGATAAGATATAGGATTTTTTCTTGATCTTATATCCTGTGTGAAAAAAGATATTAGAGAAACTCGAAAAATAGCGGTGTAACAGTACGATAGAAGCGCGGTTTCACGGTAAGAATGCAACGAATAATAGTCGAGAACCAATAAGGTTTACGGTTTTACCATTATAAAAAGGTATGTTATTATGTTTCTCAGTTGTGATGCGACTTTTCATAAAACATTATCTGACATATTCTAACGATTTCATATTCTGGTCAGATACATCTGGCATAATATTTTATCATTTATAATTAAGCACGCGGATACGCCTTTTCCTCTTTATCTCATTTTTGAATAAATAAAGATTTGAATGAAAATTTTCAATTTTGGTATTTAAATAAATTGATAATTCTTTTTTAATCTATTCCTTTCTTATTTTATAATGTCTAATAAAACTTCTTTTTATGTTCACAGTTCAAAGAGCGAAAAATTTATTAACCAAAGGAAAACACAGTAAGTATACTGATTGATCATTAAAATAAAGAATAGACCTTATATAATATGTTATAATAAAATGTCATACATATGATATATATACATATATCAAATTTCGTAAAATAGCATAATACAATTTTTCGATGTCAGTAAATTTGTTTCATCAAAAAGATTCATATTTCAAAACAATGAAAAATAAGTTACCATTGCGTCATTTGTGTTCCGAATATCGAAGTATGTAAAAATGTTTAGTCATAAAGCTGAACAACATATATATAAATTTTATAATATAACGAATCGCATGATTTTTTTAATATAGAATTATTAATAATCTTAAAAAGACACGTTTTTTAATTTCAATTGTTGTTGAACAATCTGATATTATTATTAATATTATTATTGTTATTGTTTTTATTATATTATTATTATTATATATTTTCAAATCTGATATTCAGTTAATAATGGAATGATTAACATTGTTTAAACAATATAAAAGAATTACAAAAATAATTCATCTGAATGATGATTAGACAATTGAAATCGTTTCTTGCGAGATTTTAACATTCGTTGTTTGACTTATTAATTTAAATTTATGGTCGACACCTACGTTAAATGGTTTCCACCCACGTTAAATCATTTAACCTAATAACGCAGAGTCCAACGATTGTTTCGTGACGATTGCGCTCGGAAAAGAAAAATATCAAACGTCTGTGAAGGAGAAAGCTTCGAAGGATGTAGAATGGCACGAAGAATGTGAGTTACTTATACCTGAGCAAGGAAACACCGCGGAAATTATCCTTACAGCCCTCCATCGTAATTTCTTGGGAGTTGACGAATTTCTCGGCACTATCAGCATACCTCTATCCAGCTTTGACGTTTACGAAAGACCGAGGAACAGATGGTGCGTGGTTTGATTTTTGTTTTCAACGGTATTTAATTAAAATAATATTATTCGTGATTTAAAATGATAAAATGATTAAAACAATATTAGAGTAAATATTTTGTATATACTTTTTTCACTAACACTTTCGATTACATTTAGGTATACACTCGGGAGTAAACCAGGCAAAGAAAATACGAAAGAGAGAGGTGAACTCGAAGTAAAAATAGGTTTCATTGTAAAAGCTGGTAGCTTAACGGATTTGAGCCATAAAGAACGTCACAAAAGTTCTCTTGGTCAATTATCCACAGCTGCTCATTCAATAGGTGGAAGTTTACTCAGTATAGGCAGTTTTGAAAAACGTAAAGGTTTAAGAAAATTAGCTAAATCGATTGGAAATCGTGTGAAAGGAAAGAGCAAACATAATTTGGATAAAGGAGATGATTTAGATGAAAAAGAAGAACATAAATTTCGAAGTACGCAGCAAGAACCAGGTGAAGCCGATCCTGGTGTTATTAGCGAAGATGAAGATGAATTTACGGTAAATAAAATTTATTCAATATATTGTCATTTCCGTTTTTTATAATAATCAATTGTATATATCAATTGTATATTTTAGTTCGACGATTTATCTCATAAGAGTTCAGCATCATCTCTAAATGCTCCGGTAGTTGGCGGTAACAGTAATAGAGTAGGTTCGGTGACATCAATTACTTCTTCCAATAATAATTTTGAAACACATCAACTTCCATCAGTGCCAGCGAATTCGGTACCGAATAAACCTCCACGATTCTCTGTTAGTTCTTCTGCTATCTCTTTATCTAAGGTGGATAATATCAAAGAAGATGAGTGGGGTTTAAAACTTTATGGTAAACAAGTTAATAATAATGTTAAAAGGTAAAGTGTGTTAAAAGATTTAAATATATTTCGCTGAATAAGAACAGTAATATTAATATTTTTTTAAAATATTTAGATGGGAAAATAAACCAAGTCCGAAAATTATAATAGACGAGCCAAAGGTTGAATCTTGTGAAACATCATCTATAAATTCGCCTTCTTCAACTTTAAAACGTCAAGAAACTTCAGAGACTCCGAATCCTGCACCACGTGAACTTTTACAAACAAAGAACAAGATAGAAGATAAATTAGGATCGAATAAAGAGAAGAATGTGAAAGAAGAAAAATTTAAAGAGAAGAAAGAAGATAAATATGGTTGTTGGAGTCCTAAGGATGAAAAACAATTACGAAAAGATAAGAAAAAGGAAAAAGAAAATAGATTCAAGGAATTTAATGATGATAATAATTTATCTTCGGAAAGAATTATCATTGGAGGTGAAGATGCAATTAAAACTACAACAATGAAAAGCCATTTGCCACATGAAGTTCTGACACAGTTCGAAGGAAAATCAAGAGAAGTAATTATTGCTACATTATATATCAATAATTTGAAAATGTTAAAATAATATGTAATTGTATGTAATTAAACTTTTTTCATGTAGGATCTCATCGAGCTAACATTACAACTGCAAGCAGAAGTAACAGAAAAGAAAAAACGTCTAACTGACTTGGAAGATTATATAGATGCATTATTACTGCGAGTAATTGAATGTTCGCCACGTTTATTGCAAAATCCATATCAATCACAAAGACGTTTGTCATCACCTGGTCATCAGTAAGATAATTAAATGCTTTTTTGTCCTGATATTTTTAATATTGATTTTGAGGTTAATTACAACATTCGGAGGAATTAGTGATAATTGCACAGTATAATGTATTCCAATCATTTTATACATGTTTAACTATAACTACTTTATAGTTGATGCGCTTTAATTTATTTTCAATTAACAGATAGAACTAATTTTTATGTATTTCTAAGTGACATCGCTTTTAAAAGTGTATAAACTCTTGTTGAATTTTTAATGTTTCGTTATTGTTTCAACAAAGAATGCTATTAAGATTAATATTTTAACGGGTAATGAAAAAATGGTGTTTGTGCCAACTATTGTAAAATAAGAAAAAAAAGTTACAAATGTTCCCCTAGTCTTCCCAAATGTAATTGTTTATCCAAAAAATGTTATTTCCGTCCAAAGTATGATCCCAACAAATATAATTACAATATCTGTATTTTTTAATATTTACATGAAAATTTCTTCATACAATATGTATCATATTTTCACAAATATATTTAAAATAAATATTAAACTATTACATATGATTATTATTATTCTTATTCAATATCATCATTATCATTATGAATCATCATAAATCAATCAAAATCTTAAATTTTTCAAAAATACTACTATATTATGTATAGCATAATAATATCATAATAAATGATATAATTGTAACGAAATAAATCTGTATATAATTAATATCTAAATATCTAATAGGATATATAATAATTATTCGTTATAATATATATATAAGTATTTATACTTACCTATACAATAAAAAAATAATATTTTTCAGAGACATTCGTATAAATATAACGCAATAATATCATTACAAGAACTAACATTCAATGCATTTTTATCCCATGTCTCGGAAATATTACAGGAACTAAGTACATTGTCATATATTTTCAATGTCACGTTAACATATTTGCTTCATATATCAAAATATAATATTTTATCAGATTGTTATCCTAAAAATACATTACAAAAAGAATGTAACATATATATTTACATATTTTTTTACATTAAAGATTAAAATGCGTTATAGTAATATATATTATATATGAAAAAAAAAATGTTAAAAGTGCATTCAATTGACATACCATGTTTCGTCTATAGTCATTTACAAATCAAGCATAAACATAAAAGAAGACAAAAAATAAAGAAAAGATAGAGATAAGATAAGAATTAATTGTAAGCACCATTTCTTCACCGTCAAAAAGTATATACGAAATACATAGAATAAATATATATATTGTTCTTTCGTGTTATTAATATATTAAGAATTTGAGTGATATAACCAATGACTTTCAATATATATATTGAACAGAATAACTATTCTTTAACATTATAATGCTTATGAATTTATTTAATATCGTAATAATTAAAAGATTTATAAATATGATATATGTAAATATGATAATATAAGAAAATATTTATAAAAAAATTAAAGAAATTATTTTTAAAATCTGTTGATTTTATCAACTTTCTTCATTGAGTTGAGCATAATTGTATTTATTACTTTAAATTATAGAGGGGTCTGATTTTTGCACAGTCGGTATTTCAGAACATAGGACACAAAGGCCTATTAAATGTTAGGTCTATCCTGTACCTCGTCTGTGGTATCGTTCGCTTATGTTTTCATTGCAATCTCTCTAGCAATTTCTTCGTAAAAAAATAACATCTTATTATAGGCTAATAATGACGACTAACATAAGTGACACCAATTTAACGGATTTAAGTAGAATATCTGGTAAGTTTTTATATTTTTGTTAAAATTTTCCTTTTTGACACCCGGCCATGTGAGGTTAAATTTCACAAAGTACATTTTATTGAGCATATATGTATGTAACGGTATCTCAAAATTTTTAAGTAATTTCTTTTAATATTCTTACTTTTCATAGGACTACAAGTTTTATAGATTTATAAATAGTAAAAAATATCTTAACCTTATCTCGTGCTATTCGGAAATTTCTAAACTGAATCTTTTGTAGCTTTATATATATATATATGCATATATATGTATATATATATATATATATCGTGTATCGTGCAATCGAAAGATATTTATTTTTGCATGTGGATGTAACGGAACGAAGATTAAATTGAACATAAGAAATCTCAACGATTATGAAACATAATTTACAGCTTCATCCAAGATGGAATCATGTGAAGCAGGACCTTTAGTTTTATACTCAACTGCACAAGCATGGGCAGCTCAGTTTCATCGCAGTCTTATGCCTACCAGGGTATCAGAATCGTCCGATGAAGAGGATTTTTCTCAATATCAGTTTGAAGATGACTTGGAGTACCTTAGATCATTGGACCCAAAGGAGTGGAGAGATCAAGATCATTACGCTGTTTTAGGCTTGAAAAAGCTTAGGCACAAAGCAACCGAAGATATTATAAAAAGGGCTTGTACGTAGAGAAAGTTCAAAGTATACTCTGTAAAGGAATGTAGGTGTTATATCGTTCATTGTCTTGCCTGACACAATGATTAACGCGGTTGAGGAGTATTTGATATGTGAATTACAGATAAGCAGAAAATTCTGAAACATCATCCCGATAAGCGGAAGGCCATGGGAGAGGAAATTCGACCAGACGACGATTACTTCACCTGCATAACACGGGCTTGGGAAATTTTAGGGAACCCTGCAAAGCGTCGGAGTTACGACAGTGTGGATCCATATTTTAGCGACGAATTACCGGACGAAAAAGATTGTAAAAATAATTTTTACGCGATTATGGGTAAAGCATTTAAGGAAAATGCTAGATGGTCTACAAAAAAGCCCGTACCACGTTTAGGTGGATCAGATACACCTAGAGATAAAGTAGAAAAATTTTATTCGTTTTGGTATGATTTTGACTCGTGGCGCGAATATTCTTATTTAGACGAAGAAGACAAAGAAAGTGGTCAAGAGTAAGTAATAATATCTATACAATATTTGTATTTCTTAATATGTTTTTATAATTGATCTTAATCTTTCTTTTAGCCGAGATATGCGTAAATGGATCGAGAAGAAGAATAAAGCAACTCGTGCGAAACGAAAGAAGGAAGAAATGGCACGTATACGTACATTGGTTGATATGGCTTATAATATCGATCCTAGAATAAAAAAATTCCAGCAGGAAGATAAAGATAAGAAAACAGCAGCAAAAAAAGCGAAACAAGAAGCGGCAAAAGCAAGACAGCAAGAAGAAGAAAGAATAGCGCGAGATGCAGCAGAAAAGGAACGATTAGAAAGAGAAAAGCGAGAGATCGAAGAGAAAGCAAAACTGGATGCGCTTAAACAAGAAAGAGAAGCACAAAAGAAAGCACTTCGTAAAGAAAGAAAAGCGTTGAGAGATTTTTGCAAAGCTAACAATTACTTTGCTCAAAATTCGGAAGAAAATATTAAGCATATGGAAAGTGTTGAAAAAATTTGTGAACTTTTTAAATTAGTTCAATTGGAGGAAGCGATGAAGAAATTGCAGGCTGAGGGTAGGATAGCATTTCTAAATATTATGGAAGAAACTGAAAAAAAAATAGAAGCAGAACGTAGAGCTGGTGTTATTTCAAATGATATGAGAAACACGCCGGAAAAGCAAGTAAAATCTCACACTGCTCCATGGAATGAAAATGATTTACAACTTCTGATTAAAGCGGTGAATTTATTTCCGGCTGGAACAAATCAACGTTGGGAGGTAGTTGCAAATTTTATTAATCAGCATAGTACATCTTCTACTGGAATTACACGCGATGCGAAAGAGGTTCTCGCAAAAGCTAAAGATCTACAATCGACAGATTTTAGTAGATCTAGTCTAAAAGAGCAAGCAAACAAAAAGGCGTACGATAATTTTATTGCCGAGAAGAAAACAAAGGAATCGATCGAAGATAGAATGCCAGCAGTTACAGAACGTTTAGATCACCCTATTTTGAATGGTATTAATTCTGAACAAAAGAAAGAGTCGCAGCCTTGGACTCCAGCAGAGCAGAAACTTTTGGAACAAGCTTTAAAGACTTATCCTACGAGTGTGCCTGATAGATGGGATCAGATAGCTGCTTGTATTCCAACTAGGACAAAAAAAGAATGTATGAGAAGGTATAAGGTATGTTTTGGAGAAATATCGTTTTCAAGATATATCATTTTTTTTCTTTTTTCTTTTTTTTTTTTTTCTTTTACATATTAAAATTTATACGATCATTTTGCAGGAGCTGGTCGAACTTGTCAAAGCAAAAAAGGCTGCACAAGTGATGAAATAATATTAGTCTGTCCTTATTATGAAATTTTTTTTAACTTATTAAATTCGAATACAAAGAAATAAGTTTGGAAGACGAATTGAATTTTAGCTTTTTCCGAACGTCGGCTATTGTATATACTTGTGCCTTGTTTTAATTTGTACATGCACAGTTTGCAACAAGAATTCTAGAAATTTTCTGCTACTTATACGCAAGAAAGCAATTTACCGCACTTAGTGACTGTACATTTATCGCAGATGTTAAATGCATGGAAAATTGTGGTCCCAAGGTTCAAATTGACGCTCCTGAAAATAAATTTTTTTTTCTTTTTTTTTTTTTTTTTTTTTTTTTTTTTTTTTTT